TGGGTTGCCCACCCTTTTCTAGATGGCAAATTACCTGGTCCATATCAGGGGTGAAAGCCAGCAGGTTCTGACAGGTTCTGGAGAACTGGTAGCAGAAATTTTGAGTTGTTTGGCAAACTGGCAAACACCACCTCTGACTGGCCCCAGAGTGGGGAGGGAATGGGGATTTTGCAGTATCCTTTCCCTGCCATACCCACCAAGCCACTCCAAGCCCACAAAGCCACGCCCACAGAACGGATCATAATTTTTTTGAATCCCACCACTGAATTGAGTAATATATAAACAAAGAACCAAATCTTGTAGGGTTCCTTTTGTGGCCCAGCAGGAGCCGTTGGAGCTGCAAACAGACTCCGATAGCGAGGAGCCCTATGAGTCGGCTCTGGAAGATGTGGAGGACCCTGGACAGGGTTCCGACACTGAGGAGGGACCAGAGAGGCTGGTTGGCCACCAGGAGGCGGCTAAGGCATAGAGCAGCAGTGAAAGCCAAAGGGAGTGTGTCCCTGACGTCAGGCCCTGGAGCAGTGGTGAAGATGTCAGGCCCTTGAGCAGTGATGAGGGGCAGAGGGAATTGGTCCCGGATGCCCAGCAGAGACAGGCGGATAAGTGCCGGCAACAATTAAGGAGACAAAGGAGATAATTGGACCCAGGTGGTTGTGATTGGGCTCCTCCCAAGAGAGTATATAAGGAGAGACTTTGGGAGGAGGCTGTTTGCAGGATTCAACTATTATACTAAAGCTGGAGAAGCTCTGGTGTGTATTTCTTATCTGTGGAAGTCTGGGTTGCTGCCAAAGTCTTGTCGGTGTGTTAATTTACTGTGAATAAATTGTCAAGCAGTAATCTTATGTCGGCGTGATTCACCGTGTGGAAGTGGTGGTGGTCAGAACAGTGATGTATCCGGAGGGCCTGGAGTATGTGCGGAGTTCCTTACAAGTAGTTCTTGACTTAGAACCAATGACCATTTGAAGTTACGACGGACCTTCTTAGAACTACTTAACGATCTGGATTCAAAGTTCCAATGGCCGGCCCTTCCCCTTGCAATCATGTGATCCCATTTTGAGTGCTTAGCAACCTGGCCATATTGATGGCCATTTGGAGCATGCTGTGGTCACGTGATTTGCAAATTCTTTCGCTAGAAACCAGCGTTTACTTTGGTTTCTGGCAAAAAGTGCCCATCGTAGACAATACATTTCGCTAAACAACCACGGAAGTTACTTAACCACTGCAGAAAATAATAATCATCATCATCATAAAATCATGCACAGGCTTGCTTAACAATCAGCACAACTTTAACAACTATAATTCCAGGCTCAGTTACAGTTATAAGTCGAAGGCCTTTTGTAATTTAAATATCCACATTTCTGGGGGAGAAGTCATTATGATCACAGAGACAACAAAACGTGTAGTTTTAAAAGAGACAGCAATACAAATCGTCCTCGGCTTACGACACAACTGAGCCCAGAATTTATGTTGCGAAGTGAGGAATTGGTTAAGTGAGCCTTGCCCCATTTTACAACTTTACTTGCCACATTTGTTAAGTGAATCACTGCAGTTGCTTAAGTGATAACACAATTGTCAAGTGAGTCTGACTTCCACCATTCACTTTTGCTAGTCAGAAAATCGCAAAAGGGAATCGTATGACCCCGGGACACTGCAGCCGTCATTAATGAGAGTCAGTGGCCAAGCATCTGAATTTTGATCATATGACCACGGGGATGCTGCGACAGTCAAAAGTGTGAAAAATGCTCCTAATTCCCTTTTTTTCAGTGCTGTTGTAACTTCCAACAGTCACTAAACAAATTGCGGACTACCTGTATGTTCTTTGTTTACTGGAATGAAAATGACTGTGGTTAACTTTTTTTTTTTTCTCTTCCTCCAGAGAGCAGTTTGGGGACAGAGTTCAAAATGAAGAATTCTGAGAATCGAGACGAGGAACAGGAATCAACATGCAGGAGAGATCAACAGTTTAGTTCTGGGAATCTGCCATTAAAATTAGAAACGGAGGAAAGTAGTTACAAGTCAAGAAAGCAGCAGGAGAAGCCCTCCCTGGGGTGTGAGAACCAAGATATTCCACTACAACAGGAATTTACTACTGCTGTTACTGCTGAAAAGGCCGCTGTTTCCAAGGAAAATAATGTCTCTTTATTCCCCCAATATGATACAAAATACCTCTACCACGTGGAACTGAATGAGTCGCCTTCTACGGAGAAATTGGAGCAACATCGTGAGAGGTTTGAGGAGGACTACCAGTGTACCTCAAGCACAAATAAAAAAGAGGAAAACATGATCATTGAGAAAAGGCTTGAAGTCTCTGGGAGCCGAGTAATTCATAATGTGAATCCGTATCCAAGCAGCCATCTTGGAGAAAGACGTAACTCTCCCGAACGTGCCAAAACCAACAGCGGCGTAAACTTGCTCGGCAACATTCCCGCGTGCAAAACCGAAGAAGGGTGGTACGAATGTTCCCAGTGCGGGAAATGCTTCAATAAAGCGAAATACTGGAAGCAGCACCAGAAAATTCACACGGGCGAGAAGCCGTACAAATGTTCCGACTGCGGGAAGTGCTTCAACCAGTCGGGAAATCTGAAGACCCACCAAAGGATTCACACCGGCGAGAGGCCCTACAAATGTTCCCAGTGTGGGAAATGCTTCAGCCACACCAACTGTTTGAAGATACACGAGAGGATTCACACGGGGGAGACCTACAAATGCACTCAGTGTGGGAAATGCTTCAGAGAGACGGGAATCCTGAAGAGGCATCTCCGAATCCACACGGGGGAGACCCCGTACAAGTGTTCGCAGTGCGGGAAAGGCTTCAACCTGATGGGAACTTTGAGGAAACACCAGCGCATTCATACCGGAGAGAAACCTTACAAATGTTCCCATTGTGACAAATGCTTCCGGGAAACGGGGATTCTGAAGAGACATCAACGGACTCATACCGGAGAGAGACCCTACAAGTGCTCTCAGTGTGGGAAATGCTTTACTCATACCAATGTTTTGAAGATACATCAGAGGATCCACACTGGGGAGACGCCATATAAATGCGCCCAATGCGGAAGAAGCTTCAGTCAGATGGGAAATTTGAAAACCCATCAGAGAATTCATGCTAGAGACAACCTTAATATGGGGCAAGATGTCACGTCGACGAAAGACCACGCAAATCCCCGCAGTTTGGGGAAGACGCCCAGCAAGCCAGAATTTTGAGGCATGCTCAACCTCCGCTATATAGGTAGTCCTCGACTTAATAACCACAATCTAGTCCTAAATGTCTGTTGCTGAGTGAGACATTGGTTAAGTGAATTTTCTGTGCCAATTTGCCACAGTTGTTAAGTGAATCNTGAGAGCTAAATAGCTTGAAATAGATCTATACTAGTCTCCCTTTATTTATTTATCACACACACACACACACACACACACACACACACACACACACACACATATATGTTGTATTTGTGCTGACAAATAAATTCATATATATATATATGAATGCTGATACTGAAATTGAGGACTATCAGTGTGGAAACAAACCCTTCATCCAATACGTTGAGTAATAATATTGTGCAATTTTTTTCCTCTTCTGTAGATTCCAGTCTCGAGAGGCCGGACTCACTTGTATAACTACTGTCACTCAAGAGCAAGTCGGATCATAGAGACTGCCTTTGGAATTCTGGCTATAAGATGGGGGATTCTTAGGTGGTCCATATACTTTTCATCCAAATAAAGTCGCTGACGTGTTCACAATTATCTCATCGATACTGATGCCACCCACATACCGACAGCAAGATACCCACCACCAAACTTTGTAGACACTGTTTCAGTATCTGGTGGGATACAGGAGGGAGAATGGATGAGGCAGGTGGGGGTTTGTCACTCCTGAAGTCCCTCAAGCACCAAAGGATCACATACAGCTCCAGGAATCTGCAAGGATCTGGTGCAGTTTTTCAAGGCTCCAGCAGGGAGGGAATCCTGGCGCAATGTAGTGTTGAGGTCCATTACCCTGAAGTGTAAATTTAGTAGAGAATTGACACTGCTTAAACTACGCACCTGCACAACTGTAAATGTCACTGTCAATAAATTTTCTAACAGAAGCACCTTGGTCAGTGTTTTGTCCTGAATATAAACCATAAGTTTTGCTCTATGTTTTTCTACATGTAAAGGTCCTGGAGGTTGTTTTTTTTTTAACAGAACAAAACCTCAAGTCAGAAACCTACTATAGGGTGTCAGGTAATTTAAAGAACAGCTGTAATAAGTACTAATGCCAACTACTGTGTTTCCCCGAAAATAAGACAGGCTCTTATTTTCTTTTGACCCCCCCCCCCTGAAATAAGCGCTTGGCCTTATTTTCAGGGAGGTCTTGTTATTTTTGAGGTACAGAAGGCGTGGTCACCTCATGGCTGCTGCTGTGTTACGATATTTTTGAGGAGGGCTTATTTTCGCCGGAGGGCTTATTTTAGCATATGCGCTCAAAAGCCCAATTGGGCTTATTATCCAGGGAGGTCTTATTTTGAGGGAAACAGGGTAAAACTAACAAAATTCTAATTTACATTATTCTTTATAGCAAAAAACTTCACAAATACCTTATCGCTGGTGGATAGAGTAATTTGTTTTAGTGCCTTGATTTCGTGACCCAACAATTGCACGATAGACATATGCCGCCAACAAAATAGCGCCGATTAAAACGCGATGTCAAAATCGCGTCCACAAATTCGTGACGTCAAAATCGCGCCGACAAAAGCGCGATGACAAACACAATAAAATCAAAATTTTTTAGGGTTAGGGTTAGTTTGTTGACGACGCTGTTTTGTCGGCGCGCATATGTCTATCGCGCATTTGTTGGTGAACCCTTGGTTTGGTACTATTGTTGTATACTTTGGATGGAATAGAATAACTTTATTGGCCAAGTGTGATTAGACACACAGGGAATTTGTCTTCAGTGCATAAGCTATCAGTGCACATGCAGGACCATAAAATAATAATAATAATCAGAATAATAAAGTAATAATAATCAGAATAATGATACCAACAAGAGAAGAAGGTGGAACAAATGAGAAGGATAAAAATAATACAGCCATACCACATGGGTAAATCTACTTAGGTATAAGATAGGGCTGTGGGAATCAGGTGTTCAGCAGAGTGATGGCATGAGGGGGAAAAACAACTGTCCAGTTGTTTTGGCACGCAATGGCCTATAGTGTTAGAACTATAGAGAGAGGAGGAGTAGGAACAGTTTATGTCTAGGATGTGAGGGAATCTGTAGATACTTTCTCAGTCCTCCTTCTCAGTCTTCCTTCGTGCCCGTGCAATAATTAGGCCCTCAGTGGAAAGCAGGCTAGTTGTGGGGTTTTCGGCAATCCTAACTATCCATTGAAATCCGCACCTGTCCTGTTTGGTTGCTGTACCAAACCAGACGGTTATAGAAGTACAATAAAGGTAAAGTTTCCCCAAGCACATATGTGCTAGTCGTTTCTGACTCTAGGGGACGGTGCTCATCTCTATTTCAAAGCTGAAGAGCCAGCCCAGTCCGAAGACGTCTCTGTGGTAATGTGGCGGGGGCAGGAAATTCTGGGAATTGAAATCCACATACCTTAAAAGTTGCCAAGATTGGGAAAGATTGATATGTCAATCAATAAAATCTATCAAATAAGATCAATAAAATAGAATTGCACTGTTTCTTGGGTTCTGTTAACTTGACCGGGTCTGGCTCAGAAGGCTGAGATGCTTGTGCTTATTGGTAATGAGGAATTTTAATACATTCCTTGAGCCAAAAAGATATTCATTTGGACGGAAACACCATTCAGAAGGAGATTAGAAACACCTTGGGGGCAAGTAACCTCATTGTTAACTTTTCTTTCCCTTCCTCTGTAGAGAGCCTCCTGGGAGCAGAGATCAAAGTGGAAAATTCCAAGAATCAAGGAGAGGAACCGGAGGAGTCAAGACGCAGAAGAGATCAAGAGTTTAGTTCAGGGAATCTGCCAATAAAAGTAGAAATGGAAGAAGAAAGTTACAAGTCAAGAGAGCAGCTACAGCAGAAGTCCGTCCATACTTCACTTCAACAGGAATTTACTACTGCTCTGACTGAAAAGGCCACTATGTCCAAAAAGAATAATGTGCCCTTATTCTCCCAATATGATAAAAGATACCACAATCAAATGGAACCGAATTCATTAGCTTGTACGGAGAAATTGGGACAATGTCCACAAAGGTTTGAGGACAGCTACCAGCCTACTTCAACAATGAGTCAAGAGGAGGAACACATCCTAAGTGAGCAAAGACTTGAAATCTCTGATAATGGAACAGGGAATAATTTGGACAATCTAGGGAAAACACGTAATATTTCTCCGGAATCCGGGAAAACTTTGACTAACTCAAACTCACTTAGCAGATTTCCGGTGTGCAATCCCGAAGAGGAATGGTACGAATGTTCTCACTGTGGGAAGGGCTTCAACAAGGCCAAATACTGGAAGCAGCACCAGAAAATTCACACCGGGGAGAAGCCATACAAATGTCTACAGTGCGGGAAGTGCTTTAACCAGTCGGGAAATCTGAAGACCCACCAAAGGATTCACACCGGCGAGAGGCCCTACAAATGTTCCCACTGGGGGAAATGCTTCAGCCACACCAACTGTTTGAAGATGCACCAGAGGATTCACACCGGGGAGACCTACAAATGCACTCAGTGTGGGAAATGCTTCAGCCACACGAACTGTTTGAAGATGCACCAGAGGATTCACACCGGGGAGACCTACAAATGCACTCAGTGTGGGAAATGCTTCAGAGAGACGGGAATCCTGAAGAGGCATCAACGAACCCACACTCGGGAGAGGCCATACAAATGTTCCCAGTGTGGGAAATGTTTCAGCCTGTCGGGAATCCTGAAGAGACATCAAAGAACCCACACTGGTGAAAGACCCTACAAATGTTCTCAGTGTGGGAAGGGCTTCAATCAGATGGGAACGCTGAAGAAACACCAGCGAATTCACACGGGCGAGAAGCCGTACAAATGTTCTCAGTGTGGGAAGGGCTTCAATCAGATGGGAACGCTGA